CCGTCAGGTATCCTATTTAGAAGGGCCTCTAAGAAAAAGGGCGAACCGGCCGATTCCATCTCCAACGTAAATTTAATCGACGGATGTGCCTGAAGACAATTTATCGAAAGCAACCTATGCTCACCAACTCGTCTTCTGAACAATGATTTCAGTCAAATGGGAGTGAAGAACCCATCCAGAGAGAAGTACCTAGCCTGCTCCCTGAAAGCGACATTTGTGATCAATGTGGCCAGCACCAAATCCCAATGATCCGCAAAACTGGAAACCTGGGCCCTGCATGGACCCTTTCGTTCCTGGTGCGAATAGGCGAAAATGATATTTAAAGCGTTAGGCTGAAAGCCTGGTTTCGTGCCGGAACCTAGCATTTCTTTTGTGTTTTTGTCCTCCCGGGTGCAGGGTTAACCAAAGCATTAATGTCGCTGCAGTTGTGCATCAGAGTAAGTGTCCATTTGGCTTTCAGAGAGCTTCTGACTGCCTGTCCCGGTTTAACTGACCGGTCTCTGTTGGTGTTCATGTTGACTCCCACATTGCCTCAAAAATTTACACGCTTTTCCATTTCGGGTAGATTTAGATGACAAAGGCCTCCAACGCTGGTTAAAGAATGGGTCAATACTTCAATGGACCTACTAAAACTGCACTTACTTATTGGCCTGCTTTTTAAGAATGAAGAATGAAAGACTAGCGTAGGTTGTTGCCGGAGAAAGGAAAAAATAATGAAAAGAAGATGATGGCAATGAATAAAAGAGGAAGGAAAAGGCGCAGGGAGAGTAGGAGGATGAGGAGGAGGAGTAGGAGGAGGAGGAGGCGTAGGAGGAGGAGGAGGAGGAGGAGGAGAAAGGGGGTAATAACGGCGATTGGCAGGATGACGATAATGTTGTTGGTGATGATGATGATGATGATGTGGCGGACATATCCCATACAAAATCATCGTCTTACCCGCGTGAGCTGGCAGTATCCTGTGGAGGGTCGACCTCTGGAAGGAGAGAGAGAGAGTATGGAAGCAAATAGGCATAAATTACGGCACCTGCAGCGTTTTGCCGCATTGACAGTCGTTCATTCTTTACCAGGGACGCTGTTATCTAATAGGTCCAGTACGTCCATTGGAGTATAGACCCAGAAACAATTTATGAAGTATACCAAGGAGTGACCTTGCGGCAGCTGCTTCAAAAGTCACGTTTTCGGTTTTCGGGGAACTCTTATAGAAAATATTGAGCACTCTGCCGGACTACACTGAGTTTAAATTTAGATGACTGTCGCCTATTTAAACTCTCTCCTCCCAAAACGTTTGATACACTCATTGATATCATTTGTGTTCTAGCGCCTGGCCAGATGTTCAATGCGCAATGATCCGCGTCAAATGCTGATAAATGAGAGCTGAGTTTGGATACGATTAGCTGAGGACAGGATAGCAAACAAGAAATGACCTCCCCGGGTCCCCTGGTCCTCATCGGCACTTCTGCATCATCATCAGCAGCTAGGTGACGGCTTGTAGGGAGAATCAGGACAAGGATGATCGGTATTGTAATCAGATCGGCGACCGTCCTATCCACGTCAGTTAAAGCCTCTCCTGGCAATTTCCCAATAAATAATAACTAACAACGCTAATTACCTCTAAGGCTGTGGATATGTGCAGGCAGTCGGTTTTGGCGCGCAACTGTGATGCCTATTAATTTAACTAGACAGTCAATCGGATGAAGGTAATTTTTTACCTTTAAGCTGACGGCAAACCGTGCCTTGCCACTTGATTTGCTTCAGCTTGAGATGACGGGCAAAAACAGTCGGAACGTGATTTACTTCAAAATAATTGATGTAAAAGGCTGATTGACGACGCACAGCGTGATGTACGGAGGACAGAGAAGGAAAATCATGGCAAACGGTGTACACTTTTCTATAGTTAGCCCATTCTTTAACCAGCGTTGAAGACGTTTGTCATCTAAATCTACCAGAAACGGAAAAGCGTGTAAAATTTGAGACAATGTGGGAGTCAACATGAACACCAACAGAGGCCGGTCAGTTAAACCGGGACAGGCAGTCAGAAGCTTTCTGAAAGCCATATGGACACTTCCTGTGATGCAAAACTGCAGCGACAATAATGCTTTGGTTAACCCTGCCCCCGAGAGGGTAAGAACACAAGAGAACGGCTAGGTTCCGGCACGAAAACCAGGCTTTCGCCTATCCGCACCAGGAACGGGAGGGTCTATGCAGGGCCCAGGTTTTCATTTTTGCGGATCATGGGGATTTTGTGCTGGTCACACTGATCACAAATGTCGCTTTCGGGAGCAGGCTAGGTACTTCCCTCTGGATGGGTTCTTCACTTCCATTTGACTGAAATCATCGTTTAGAAGATGAGTTGGTGAGCATAGGTTGCTTTCGATAAATTTTCTTCAGGCCCATCCGCCCATCAAATTCACGATGGAGATGAGAGAGGCCAGTTTGCTCCCTTTCTTAGAGCTCCCTCTAAATAGGAAACCTGACGGCAGCGTTCGACGGAGCGTCGACGAGAAGAAAACGTGTTCTGTACAATTCACCAACTTTGACGGTTCCATAATCCCTTTAAAATATCTGGGCCGGTGTTGGGCACAGAGCTAGAAATATTTGTTAAGCAGGCGACATAATGAGGCGCTTAGAAGAATATAGGATCTTCTTCGAGCAAACGGGTACCCTGACAAATTTCTTGCAAGGAACATTGCCGAACGACCGGCAAAATCCACCAAACTGGTTGCCGAACAGAAGACTTTGTTCCTCAGAGTTCGCTTTTAAGGAGACGCTTATGGATATCTCCTGAGAAGACGCCTTTTCAATCTGTCTCGAGAAACTTCCCAGCAACATGTGTTCAAATATCATTTTCTACTAACCCTATTTTACTCAGAGAAGGTAAGGATAGGCTGCCAAATCAGACCACCTCAATGTGCATCTATTCATTCACTTGTTCCGGTGGAGGAGGTTATATTGGTCGTACGAGTCGGCGCCTTTTCAAAAGAATACGAGAGCACTTTCCCACATGGCTGGCAAAAGGTGAAACTAGAAGAATAGACAGCGCCATACTTGCGCATGCAGTGGATGCAGGGCATCGGGTGGACCCCGCTGAAGCTGTTCGTGTGATTTATAAGGTCCCTCGACGTATCTTAAGCTACTGACCTAGCGCCTTTTAGCAACAGCAAAAGCTGCCGCAATCGTGTCACGAAAACCGATCCTATGCTCCCAGAAGAATCTCGTTCAGACTCATCGCTTGCCATGGTCAAAGGTTGACTACCTAAATGCAACTTTTTGCGCCCTTCAGGTTACTCCTCGCCTTTGTTTTAAAACTAACTTTTATCGATTTTTCAATCACTGACATGTCTGACTGTACTCCGTTCCCATATTAGTGTACTGGCCTGAAGAGAATCTATCGAAAACAACGTATGCTCGCCAACTCGTCTTCTAAATACTGCTATGGGAACTTTTGTAACTATGCAATCATTGTCTCTAAATCTGCGTTTCTTGCAACGAAAACTGGCATATTAGTTAGTCCTACGCACTTTCCTCCACCGCCCACATGGGCGTTCGTCCCTTCGTCACCCTTGAGGCTTAGGTATCTTTGCATATTGACGTAGTTGCAGCCTTCTCTACGGAGTTTTAGCCGGCATATTACAGACGGACCTTCTTGCTGGTGTGAACGGGTCCTTAATGCGCTTTAAATGCTGACCAAGGCTAAAGTCCGGCCTTCGCTTAAGTCGATTTAAGTGACAGAGGAAAGCCAGCCTATCATATACGAAAATTCCATCAAAACTCCCACCGCCGAATTGATTCTTCTGTTCTTTCTCAGGGTGGTCACCGGATCCCATTAGCGGAGGATTAAGTGCAGTCCAGGACTCCGTGAGCGCCCCAGAGATGGCTGAAGTCGGCCATCTTGGCATTTGTTTCCTACCCACGCCATAAATTTTGGCCAGAATTTCGACACGGCAAGTAGCGCGACTGTCATAGGTCAGCTTAATCAACCGCCACATCGGGTTGCATGCGGCTGGAGGTTCTGTGTCAACAAGCAACCAACGAATGTTTGGGGTTTGATTCCGACAAGAGGTACGGTTCTGACCTGCCACTAATCGCCGCTGAGAGTGAGGTCAGGGGCACCGACTGACTATGTAGAAGCCGGCAATTTCACTGATGACTAACGCGACAGACAGCAGGATATGCGAGACACGCCTGTTTCAAAACACGACCGTGTTGTAAATTAGCCAGTGTCCGATGATGATGTAATTGCTGTTGTTGTTGTTGATGCTGCTGCTACTGATGATGATGATGATGATGATGACGACGATGACGATGATGATGATGGTGGTGGTGGTTAGACGTGTTTACGGCTGAAATTATTACACCTTAAATAAAACCGCCTTCGGTGGCGGCAATCCTTTGATAATATTACGCTCACCCAGGGCCACCCGCTAGAGTTAGACCGTGGCTAGTTTTGTGATTCGTTGATTCTTGCCGGTCGTTTCTGCAGGCACAATCCGGACGACAGTCCCTCTGCATGAGTGGCGCCCGTGAAGCCAGAGACCACAGTGACGTATACAAACTATGCCCTGTCAGCCAATAAGATCTGAGCTGCTAGAGTAGAACTAGGCAGATGCTTTCAGGGTCCCCTCGGTTGCACTGTTTGGTCGTTTGATGGAACTAATTAAAAAGTTTTAACTTTTACAGATGATAATTATTGTCTTCGTTTAAAAATACGAATGAATGGATTTTGGCGTAAAGCACTGAATGGCAACGATAGTATACAATGTTACACGAAGCAACGACTGCCATTGTCCCATTTTTCAGGAAAAAAATAATTTATTAATGCAGAATTTGGTTGAGATTATCTGTATCGCTTACTTAACGACAGGGAATGTGAGGGGGAACCGCCGAAAATGCAAGTAACTAAGCGCCAAACTCCACAGAAATAGGGGTAGAGTTAAGGTATGGATTAGAGATAAGGTTATGGTTATGGCTAGGGTTAAGATTAGGGTTACCGTTAAGGTTTGGATTAGGGTTATTATTAAGGCCAACTACATTACGTGATCGAGGCGTTCCTATTCTCGTCTACTGTTAGGGGGGCACTAAATAATTCCAACTAAGAATTCCCAACCGCCTAGTAAACTGTCGATCCTCCTAGGGATATAGGTATGAATAGCAGAAACCGCAAAACGCAACATTAGTTGCGAAAACAAAGAACCAGTATTTTATCCTCATCCATTGTGAGGTGTTTAGATGTAGTAAGTAGATGTGCTAACTCATGAAATGCCAACCAAAATTTTGAAATGCGTTCTCGTTTCGAAAAGATAAATTAAGTAGTGTTGTAAAACTAATCAAGATGCAGCATAAATCTATAATGATCCAGTTACTTCAGGGTGTCGGCTTTCGAAAGAACTTACTTTCGGCTGCATGCATGGTCTACACTCTGCAAAAAATGGTTACTTAAGTGGTATGCCCTTTTCTCATTGATTTTCGATACCCTTGAAAATTCAATTATATTTCATGGAACACATGCATAAAAATATTCATTCTTTTACTTATTCGGTAGAAAATCACGTCTTCTTCCAATGTAATACACAAAGGAAGAGTATAATTCGATTTAAAAAAAACTTTTCTAATTCTTGAATAATTTTGAACCCGACCTGCTGTTACACTTGTATTCAGGGTTTCAAAACTACAAGCTGTATATTTTCCGTGTACGGAAAACCATGCATTTCTCTACGATGTTAAGAGGAGACCATATAAGATTCATAAAATTAAGCAGTGGATTTGAGTAATATTGTTAACTTTACAAGCAACATTCGTAAACGCAGATACATGACGTTTCCTGAATGGTCATTTATCCGTATTAAAAAATCTTACAATTAGAAACTTTTTTAAAACCGAACTATACTCTTCTTTTGAATATGAAATTGGAAAAAGAGATTTTCTACCGAATATGCGAAAGAATGAATATTTTTATGCATGTTTTTCATGAAATATAATTGAATTTTCAAAGGCAACGAAAATCAATGAGAAAATTACATGCTACTTAAGTAGCCATTTTTTGCAGAGTGTAGACCATGCACGCAGCCGAAAGTAAGTTCTTTCGAAAGCCGACACCCTGAGGTAACTGGATCATTATAGATTTATGCTGCATCTTGATTAGTTTTACAACACTACTTAATTTATTTTTTTGAAACGAGAACGCATTTCAAAATTTTGGTTGACATTTCATGAGTTAGCACATCTACTGTATACGGTTGGAAAAAGCGGCAATATCCTCTAAACAAAACACTAAAGCAAAGATAATCGCCAATTTAAAAGAAGACGAAGGCGCGATCACTGGGACGGTAGATTTATTGGCCTTAGTTTTGGAACTAGAATTGGAGTTCATCATCAGAGACTGCTAGAGTGCAGCAACATGCGCCACTCACATGCTGCAGGAGGGCCATGAGTTCGACTTCGCCAAAACGCTGATACTGGCGCGAGCCAGCAACAAGACGGGCGAGAACTGTTGGAGGCGTGGGTGTCGGACACCAACTCTACCAATAGATACATTGATTTGCCTGCGTGTTATCACGCGCTCCGCCCACGCAGCCAGGTGGCGCAGCTCACAACGCCGGGAAGTAAAAACGGCGTCACCACGCCGGGGGACCATTGCGGACCAGGCGGCACAAAGCAGACCTAAACACGGACGTAGTCCCACCTTTCCCGCACGAAACAACGATATAACTGTTCAAACGCTGCTGCACTCTACCAGTCTTTGATGAACCCCAGTCCGAGTTCGAAAGCTAAGGCCAATAAATCTACCGTCCCAGTGATTGTGCCTTAGTCTTCTTTTAAACCAGAACTTGGGATGCGCATATTCTCTGCCATTCGTGATAATCGCCAATTCTCTAAAGCAGAATCCGAAATCGACAATAATGTGAGCTAATTTCGCTGTGGGATACGAAATGAGCTATCCTATTAGATAGGTTCATATTCACTTTCAAGTTGATTGTGTCTTACTGTCAGTATATGTTGTAATTTGACTGCATAACAAACCGCACGGACTACCATGGGAGCCAGGTCAAGGCCCAGTGTAAGATATTCAGCATGCACAGCAATAAAAGTGTCACATATGAAGGTGCAAGTAGGCGCCTAGGCGCAGAATCACGCCGCACCGGCCACATTCATCCAATCTCTGCATCAGATAGCCCACCGGCTTCGAAACATGGGTTGGTGTATGGAAGATGGAAGAAAAATTGACGTTGGCTCTGGGGAATCTGTTCATAGACCCTCAGCACCTGTTCCTCACCACAAACAATCTGACGCACTTTCAAGTTATAAGGGTAACGGTATGCGCATATCTCAAAACATGATCAGTAAACGTGCTTCCTACGATTGTGTCGAAGCCCTAAGCATTCACCGGAGCCAAATTCAAACTAGGGATGCTCGTCGAGAATAAAGACTTATAGACAAAGGGAAGTGTTGGTTCAGTCTAAAATGTTTGTCCTTTTGCCTCAGTTTCCTTTATTCGGTTGGCGCCGAGGACAGTTGCCTTGGTTTTGAGGCCTTCTGCAATGCCTGACGATTCAATGATTGGCTACTTGGGCGGCATCATAGGAGTGCCCATACACCCTTGTTTTTGTTCACCTTCTATGCGACTACTCGTAACAGCGTCTACATAGGCGAGTCATTTCAGCGCATTTTCTCCAGTTTCTACACTAGTTGGCCGCCCCAACTTAGCTGAATCCGATTCTATATGGCATACGTGTTCAACACGTCAGTCAACTCCAGTGTTTGGATTCGCTCCTACCAGATCACACTGTAT